CTGGCTGAATCCATCCTGGCTGAATCCATCCTGCCCTTGGGATGCTGGGTGCATCCCGACCCCGCGGTGTGCGCGCTCCCACCTTTGTGCCGTGCCTACGTGGTGCCACCAGAGCAGGGACGGAGCTCTGCACGGGCACAGGGCGCTGCTGGGAGCTGCGTCCTCCTGCAGCCCCGGCGTGGGCTGTGAGCGTTTTGCAAGCACGGGGCCGGGTCGTCCCCACCCCAAAGCAGGGAGAGCCGGGGACAGAGCGGCTGTCACAGCGTGTTCTGCCCCCAGGCACCTCCGGCACGGCGCGTTCCATCCCCACCGAGCTCTGTGTCCCAGCCCCTGCTTGGGGTGGCAGTGAGGGGCTCCCTTTGTCCTCAAGCTCAGGGAGGCGCTGCTCGTGTCCGCCGCTGTCCCGTGGCCCTGCTTGCACCACACGCCCATCCTGCATCCTCTTTGGGGCTGATTTCGGGGTGCACTGCATGGGGAACCCCCCTGCCTGCGCCATCTCAGAGCATCCAGCTCTTCCCCACCCGCTGGCCCCGCTTGGCAAACGCGTGCAGCCTTTGTCTCTCCTCTGGTTTGGTTCTGAAGATGCTTTGGGCGTTGGTTGGTGCAGCACACAGCATCCAGCGTGCCTCAGTTTCCCTCCCGGCCGCTCACCTGCACCAGGACCTGCAGAGCCGGCCGGGAAGCTCTGCTGCACCGTGCCGGAGAGCAGCAAAAATTATGAATAAGCTCTCATTAATAAATACTTGATGATGAATCCAAATAGATTTCCTCCTCTGGAGCAATTATTGTAAAATGGGCTCTAATACGTTGCAGGGACGGCCCCGAGAAAGGTTGGGTGCATTTCAGGGACTAAGTGCCTTCCTTCAATGCACTCTAATGAGCACTTTCAAATCATTTGCATCTGTCTCAGCAACAGGTCTCATTACCAGGTTAACTTATTACCGAGCGCCGTTGCTGTGAACAGTTAATAAGCGGCTACCGGAGGCCTCGCCGCGCGTTCGTGGGGAAACCAACAGCAGGGCGAGCGCAGGGAGCATCTCCCCATCTGCACCGTGGGTTTGCAGGCAGCCACGACTGGGATTTTGGGGAATAGGGGAGCGTTGGTGCATCCCCTGCTCGCAGCGGGGTTCCTGCAGGGCACGGCGCAGAGCGCAGCATGCCAGCCCCTGCCTGGGCTCGTCCGGCCGCGGGGATGGGGAGCTGGCAGCCGCAGAGCCGGCAGCGTTTTTGAGGTGTGTGGTTGGCTGGCGGAGAGGCTGAGCATCCTTTAATAACACCAACCCTGTGTGGTCTGCGCGGGGCCGAGGTGCTGCCTGCGCGTCCCGCGCCGCGATGGGTGACCCGCCGTCACCGTCACTCCCGTCCCCAACTCCTCCTCCTCCTCCCCCCCATGCAAACTGCTCGGGAATTTCCTGAGGAAACGTGGGGTTTTGGTGCTTTTTTTTTTTTTTTTTTTTCCATTGGAAAATTCAGAGCTCACAGAGCTCAACCTGTTTGGACGAGGTGCTCGTGCAAGGGATCCTCAGGTCGCCGTGCTGTGATGCCGTCGTGCCACGGAACCTGTGCCACAGCGCCCGTGCCGTGATACCCATGCTGTAGTGCTGGTGCTGCAGCACACGTGCCGTGGTGCCCGTGCCATCAGTGCCCGTGCCATGGTGCATCCTGTGCCATGGTGCATCCTGTGCCATGGTGCATCCTGTGCCATGGTGCATCCTGTGCCATGGTGCATCCTGTGCCGAGGTGCCAGTGCTGCTCGTGCCATCGTTCTTGTGCTCTGGTGCCCATCCCGCAGTGCCTGTGATCCCCGGGCTGTGATGCCCAGTGCTTGGCGTGTGGCACAGAATTGCCCACCTTTCCCATGTGCAGGAAGCCCCCCCCCCCCCCCCCGACACATCCCTGGGTGGCACAGTGCATCCCCCTCTTTCTCCAGGGCGGGAGGCTCCTCGCTGTGCTGCTCATCCCAACACGGCCTGCCCAGCACCACACAGGGCATCCATCCATCTGTCCATCCGTCCACCCGTCTATCCATGCATCCCAGATGGGCACTGGGATGGAGCCAAGGTTTGCCTTGCCTCGGTTTCCCCTTCCTGCAAACACTCCCCTGCCTGGAAGGGCAGTGTGGGGGGGGCCTGGTGCCGGCAGCACCCCGGTGCCAGCAGCACCCCGACGCGGGCGGCTCCTCCTCGGGTTGCGGGGCTTTACAAGCCCGGGCTGGAAGGGCCCCAAGAACAGACTCTGCTGCCAGATTCCCGGCCGGAAATGCCCTGAGAACAGCCTTGTCTGTGGTATTGCAGCATGTCTCTGCTTCCCAGCCCAGCAAATGAAAAACAACAGGGGAAAAAGTTAACCAGCCCCGTGCCGGCGCTGCGTCGTGCCGCTGTGAGGCGGCGGGCTTCAGGGTGACCCTGGGGGTCCCCAACATCAAGCAGCGGGGACCCGGGAACCACAACCACGGTGTCCCCAAACTGTCCCGGGTGCCACGGGGGCGCAGCTCCCTGCTGGGACGGCAGTGAGCCTTGGCTGTCCCCAGGCGCGGCGTCCCCCCGGCTGTCCCTGTGCCCCCGCCTGGCCCCGCTAAAGCAGCTTAGCTGGATGCAGCATCCCCGTGTGGGATAAGCTGGGCGGGAGGGAAAGTTGGCGCGGGGCTGATCGGCTTTGGGCCCGGCTCTCGGCTCGCCCTAATCCCGCCGTGGTGCTGTGGGGTGATCGCTGGCCGTCGTCACCCTGCAGTGGGACCATCCGGAGGGCGCCGAGCGTCCCCTGTCCCCGTTCACAGTGCTCCCTCCCTGCTGTCCCTGCAGTGGGACAACGCCAGTGCCCTCCGGCTGCCCCTGCCCGGGGTGTTGGCAGGGCTGGGGTATGGCAGCAATTTGTAGGGCTTGCCTGGATAACCGGCCACCAAGGAAGATCGGCCGCCCACCGCCCCGGCCAAGTATTGTTTTTGGAACTTGCTGCTTCTTTTTTCGGCTCCTGTCTTACTTTTCTTTGACCTTCTTCCCTGATTTAAGACACATGCCCAGCCCTTGCCCAGCTGCAGTGAATTAGCGGCTGCTGCTGGGGAGGGAACCAGACCCTGCGGCCACGCGGGGCTGCGGACGTCCCAGGAACAGCCGGCAGGGGCGAGTCCATGGGCAGGATGAGTCCTATGGGCAGGATGGGGTCCTGCGGGGAGAGTGGGATCCTAGGGACTGGATGAGTCCTGTGGGCAGGATGGGATCCTGTGGGTGGATGAGGTTCTGTGGGCAGGATGAATCCTGTAAGCAGGATGGGAATCCTGTGGTCGGGGTGTATCCTGTAGACAGGATGGATCCTACAAGCAGGAGGATTGCCATGGGCAGGATGGGATCCTACGGGTGGGATGTGATCCCATGGGCAGGAAGGGGTCCTGTGGGTGGGATGTGATCCCGTGAGTGGGATGGGATCCTACGGGTGGGATGTGATCCCAAGGGCGGGATGGATCCTACGCACAGGATGGATCCCTTATGGGTTATGAAGGGCCAGAGCTGTGCTAATGCTGTTGGGGTTGGTAGGGGGAAAAAAGTGGATCTGGAGTAGGGGCCATCAGCTTCCAGGGTGAGATTGTGCTGGAAAATAATTGGGTTTGTGCACTGGGGAGACTTTTGGGGTTGGTGGTGCTGTGCTGGTGGGCTGTGCTGGGTCGGGGGACAGCGGGGGCAGTGCTGGGGCAGTGGGGCCGGTGTGGGGCTGCTGTGGGGCTGCTATGGGGCTCCGTGCTGGAGCAGGGAGCAGTGAGGTCGCTTGGGGACAGGGCTGCGGTGGCTGAGGCGCAGCTCCTCCCGGCTGCACTGAGACCCTGCGCTCTGCTTCGCCCTTTCGTCGCTGCGATTGCAGTCGGGAGGGAAGCAAGAAAATGAGGGGAGGAGGAGATGATTTTTGAAGGGTTTGGTGGCCGCGCTTTGCCGCCTCCCAGCTGGGATTTGGGGGCCGTTCCCAATGCAAACCCAAGCACGGATTTTTCCGAACTGGGAGAATCGGATGCGGGAAGGAGGGGCCGTGGAGATGGATGCACTTTCCTTGTTTTCTTTCGGGGACGGATTCGTCCAGCAGCCAAATGGAAAAAGACAGTCAGAGCACGCATTGCTCACCGGGCCTCGCGCCAGCAGCCGGGCTGCCCAGAACTGGGGCAAACTGGGGGGAGTTCCCTCGCGCCGGGGGGAGCCCCGCCGTGCCGCCCCATGCCCACACCACACGGCGGCCCGGGTGCTGGGAGATGCTTGGCATCTGGGTGAGGTGTGGGGTGGCCCCCGTGGCTCCGTTGCACCCTGGGCAGGATTTATGGGGACGGGGAGTGATGTCTGTGCCCCCCTTGGCATCGCAGTGGTGTTGGGGTCCCTGTCCCTGTGGTGGGCATGTGCCATGTCCCTGCCCTGTGGGTGCTGGCTGGATGGGGACGTGGCACAGCGTGGCCCCACAAGTGGTCATGGGGGGTTTGGGGACATCTGGTGTGTCCCAAGCATGGCCCTGCAAGAGGCCGAGGGTTGGATTGGAGACACCAGGCCTGTCCTTGTCATAGCCCCACAGGTGGCTGAAGATGGGTTTAAGGACACTGGGTCTGTCCTCAGAAGTGGCCATGGGAGAGTTTGGGGACATTAAGTTTGTCCCTATTGGAGCCCCACAAGTGGCTGGGGTTGGGTTTGGGACACCAGATCCGTCCTTGGTGGGGCTCCACATGTGGCCAAGAGCAGGTCTGGGGACACCAGGTCTGCCCCACTGGTGCTCGGCAGGTGGCTGGGATTAAGTTTGGGACACCGGTTCTGCCCCAATGGGGCTCTACAGTTGAATTTGGAGACGCTACGTCTGACCCCGGTGTGGCCCCACAAGTGGATAAGGTTGGGTTTAGGGACACTGGGCCTGGCCCCATAAGTGGCCAGGGGTGGGTTTGGGGGCCTGTCCCCATCGTGGCCCTACAAGTGGATGAGGTTGGGTTTGGGGTCGCGTTCCGGGGCCCTGGGGTGACGCGCTGTCTCTGTGCCCCACAGGATGAGTTCCACCCCTTCATCGAGGCGCTGCTCCCCCACGTGCGGGCCTTCGCCTACACCTGGTTCAACCTGCAGGCCCGCAAGCGCAAGTACTTCAAGAAGCACGAGAAGAGGATGACGAAGGACGAGGAGCGGGCGGTGAAGGACGAGCTGCTGAGCGAGAAGCCCGAGGTGAAGCAGAAATGGGCCTCGCGCCTCCTGGCCAAGCTGCGCAAAGACATCCGGCCCGAGTGCCGCGAGGACTTCGTGCTCTCCATCACCGGCAAGAAGCCGTCGTGCTGCGTCCTCTCCAACCCCGACCAGAAGGGCAAAATGCGCCGCATCGACTGCCTGCGGCAGGCTGACAAGGTGTGGAGGCTCGACCTGGTCATGGTCATCCTCTTCAAAGGGATCCCTCTGGAGAGCACCGACGGCGAGCGGCTGGTCAAGGCGGGCCAGTGCACCAACCCCATCCTCTGCATCCAGCCCCACCACATCAGCGTCTCCGTCAAAGAGCTCGACCTCTACTTGGCCTATTTCGTCCGTGAGAGAGGTACGGGGGTTCCTTCCCTCTTTCCTTCCCTTTCAGACCTTGCAGAGAGGATCCCGGCGCTCCAATCGCTCCCACCCCGAGCGGGTGTCCCCCACCGTCCCCTTTTCTCCATCTGACTCCGATCCCAGTCCGAGGGGCGTTGCTGGTTCTGAGGGCAGTGGTTGGGTGGCACGTTGTGTCCCCGTGTGCTTTGACATGGGTCGTCCCAAAGCCTTTGGGATCCAAATGGGGTGACTGAGGCACGGTGCAGCACCCAGGCTTGGTAGCCAAGAGTGGCCCCCGAGCCACTGTCCTTGCATGCCAGGAGAGCAGAGCTCCTGCCTCAGGCCAGCTCCTGTGCTATCCAGGCTCGTCGCCAGCCGGAGCCCTGCTGGCACATGTGGCCCCAGTGGCAGCAGGCACATGGGGGGACAAATGGGTGGAGTCCTTTTGGCAGGGACCTGAGGCCCTGAGCGCATCATCTGTGGGGCTGAGCAGGGGTCTCACTGCTGGGACACCACGCTCCCCGATGTCACCCGTGCTTCTCAACATCCCCTCTGCATCCCGTTGTCACCCACATCCCTCTGCATCCCGGGGTGGGAACAGAGCAGCAAGGAAGATCAGGGCTTGCCAGTGAATCTCTGCAGAGCATCCTGCAGGCAGGAGACCCATAGCACCAGGCTGTGCTGCCAGGACCCATCCCCCCCCCTAGGGCCATCCCTCCATAGGGCCATCCCCACCCCAGGACCCGTCCCCACCCCTGGACGTGTCCCATTACCCCTCTGCAGTCTATGACCGCTCCTCACCCAGCTCTGGCTGCAGCCCAAGGACGGATAATGACACCGAGGGGGGCACCCGGTGGCTGTAATCCCAACAAAGGGGATTGACGGAGCCATAAATCACGGCGGGCGCGGGCGGATGTGCCGGGTGTCACCTCGGTCCCCCGGGAGCCACCGCGGTCTGACTGGCGTCACGTGCGCCCCGCAGCCCCCACCACACGGGGGTCACCAAACGGGGATGGCTTTGGGCAGCTCGCGGCCAACCGGGGTGCGGACAAAACCCCGATGGGTGACCCTGTGTAGGGTGCTGGGGGCTCCCGGCGGCCATGCGATCCCCTTGTCCCCAAGGGAAGCAGCCGCCCCTCTGCCACCCCCAACCCGTGACCTTGACCCCAACGTCTGGGTCCCCAGCAGCCGCAGTCACCTGATGTCTAATTGGGAACACGGCGGCTGTAAATACTCCCTGATAAGGCCCTGGCAGCGGCTCACTTTCTCTGTTAAGGTCGCTCTGCGCCGTGGTTAAGGGGGACTGGGGACGGTGGGGCGGACCTTTGGGTGCTGCTGTGCTCTCGGCCCCATCGTGCGCCCTCTGCTCTGTGCTGGAGGGGTCAGCAGGGTGCAGCAGGGAAATGGGGCAAGGAGGGGCGTGGGGGGCACACGCTGGGGGGGGTGGGGGTCCCCGTGGACTTGCTGCCGCACACTCAATCCTGCACAAGGCTGCATTTTCCTGCACGCTGCTGCACCCTCAGTCCTGCACTTGTCTGCAGTCCTGCGCAGCTGTTTGTGCGGGGTTCTGCACGATCCTTTCCTGGGCTTTTGCACGCTCAGTCCTGCGTGCATCTGTGTGCATCTGTGTGCATCTGTGTGCATCTCTTGCACAGCCCTGCGCGATCCTTTGCAGTCAATCCTGCACGCTCCCACATTTTTGCTGCACGCTTCCACTCCTTCCCCGCTTTGCACGCTCCTCCCCACCTTTGCACACCCCAATCTGTGACGCCCCCCCCTCCCCCCCCATCCCCTCGCTGTAGGCAGAAGGAGGTTGGGGGGCCTTCATCCACCCGCTGCCCGCAGCCCCCCGCTATGGGGCTGGAGCACGTGGGCTCAGCCGCCCGCCCGCGCCCGCTCCTTTTGCTGCTGTCAGCACAATTTCCCAACTGCTGCTCTGGCAACGCGAGGGAGGGGGGCTGCGGAGGAACCCCCACGGTCAGCCCTCCCTGCGTGGGGAGGGGGAGCGAGCCGCCCCTGCAGAGCAGGGCCAAGGGGGTGGCGCTGAGCCTGCGGGATGCCCGAAGGAACCCCGCGTGCGCACGTGGGGAAACCGAGGCATGGATGGGGGGTTGCGGGGGGGAGGCAGGGGTCTGTGCCCCGCTCCTCGTGGGCTGTCTGCAGCCCCACGGTGTGCCGGGTGCTTGCTGCAGGGCTGGGTGCAGGGTGGACTCAGCGCTGGGTATGGGGTGGGTGCAGGGCAGTTAGAGGGTTGTTGCAATGCTGGGTGCACACTAAGTGCAGGGTGATTGCAAGGTGGGTGCAGGGTGATTGCAATGCTGGGTGCAGGGTGATTGCAATGCTGGGTGCAGGGTGATTGCAAGGTGGGTGCAGGATGATTGCAGTGCTGGGTGCAGGGTGATTGCAATGCTGGGTGCAGGGTGATTGCAATGCTGGGTGCAGGGTGATTGCAAGGTGGGTGCAGGGTGATTGCAATGCTGGGTGCAGGGTGATTGCAATGCTGGGTGCAGGGTGATTGCAAGGTGGGTGCAGGGTGATTGCAATGCTGGGTGCAGGGTGATTGCAATGCTGGGTGCAGGGTGATTGCAAGGTGGGTGCAGGGTGATTGCAGTGCTGGGTGCAGGGTGATTGCAATGCTGGGTGCAGGGTGATTGCAATGCTGGCTGTGCACTGTGTGCAGGGTGATTCCAGGTTGGGTGCAGGGCGATTGCAGTGCTGGGATCACGCTGGATGCAGAGTCATTGCAATGCTGGGTGCACGTTGGGTGCAGGGTGGTTGCAGCATGGGGGAAGGGTGGTCGCAGGGTAGCTGCAGTGCTCAGTGCAGGCTGAGTGCTGGATAGGTGCAGGGTTGTTCTGCTGCAGGCTGCAGAGCAGATGCTGTGCTGGGTGCAGGCTGAGCGCAGGGTCATTGCAAGGTTGGGTGCACGTTGGGTGCAGGCGATTGCAGGCTGGGTGCAGGGTTGCTGCTGGCTGGGTGCAGTGCAGCTGCAGTGCTGGGTGCAGGGTGGTTGCAGGGTGGCTGTGGGGTTGTTGCAAAGTTGGGTGCACTCTGGGTGCTCGCTGGGTGCAGGGCGATTGCATGCTGGGTGCAGGCTGAGCGCAGGGCTGGGTGCAGGGCTGGGCTCTGCACACCGCAGTGGGGGAGGGGTTGGCGCTGCAGCCCAGGGCTGGGTGTGCAGCAGAAGGGGGGGGGAGGGGTGGGGGGGAATGGTGGGGGGTGGGGGGGGAGGGGGGAGAAGCTCGGAGGTCGCCGGTGAAAGTCAAAAGCATTGCAGTAAAATGGTAATCAATCTCCCCAGTCGATTGTGCCAGGACCTTCGAAGCATTACAGAGAGATTCCTCCCTACAGCAGCAGCCTGGGCAGGGGGGGAAGGGAGGGGGGGGGGGGGAGAAGCAGGGGGTTCCTCCCAGCCCCGCATCTCCATCACCCTCATCCCTGCATCTCCATCCCAGTGCCCCATTGCTGCATCCCCACCCCTACGTCTCCACTGCCTCCATCTTGGCACCCACGTACCAGTGCCCCTGTCCCTACCCCCCACCCCTTCACCCCCCCCGCACCCCCATTGGCACATCCCAGTGCCCCCCTCCATACATCCCCACATCCCCTCACCCTCACTCCCTAACCACTGGGTGGGGGCACGGGGTCAGCACGACCCCCCCCTCCCCTCCCTCCACTCCCGGGGTGCTCAGGGTGCGAGGGGGGACCCCGCAGCCACATCCCCACCTCTGCCCCGCTGCGATCTTCCCCCAGCAGTGTCCTTTGGCTGAGCCCAGCGGGGCGAACAGATGGGTACGGGGGGGTGGTGTGCAGGCATCGAGCCCTGCGGTGGCACCGTGCTCCCCTTGGCACAACGCCGTGCCCCCTCCACCCCCCCCCCGGGCCTGGCAGCCCCTTATCTCCCATCCCCAGCCCGGCGTGAGGCAGATGGCACCAATCTGCTGGGGACGCCGTGCCAGGGCGCCCGGCCGAGCTGCCCGTGCCAGGGGGGGCCGTGCCAGATGGATGGGGCATCACCGCCAGCACGCCTGCAAATATTTATGGGGGGAGTGGTGGGAGGGGGATTGGAGAGATGGATGGGGAACGCAGCGTTCAGGCCCCGCATCTCACTGAGTGCCTGTGGGCAGAGGGGTGGATGAACCCCCACCCCACCCAGCGCTGTCCTGGCAGCCACGGATTTGGGGCTTGGGGGGCCTGGAGATGGGCAGAGCCATGAGGGCAATGGGGCAGGGCCCCCTCCCCACTGGCCCCCAGCGCTGCGCAGTGATATCAGCCATCAGAGAATCCCTGCGGGCTGGGTTCCTGGTGTGTGTTGGACACAAGGGTGGGATGGAGGAGCGTGTGGGGTGTATGGGGGGTGTGCTGGACCCCAGGAGCTCCGTCCCTTGCGGCGCCACCCCCCCGAGGTGTCCCAGCAGGCAGGGGCCGCGCTCTGCCCCCCCTCCCCAGTGCTGTTGGCACACGGAGCTCTGCAGATCGATGCCGACCTTGCGAGGTCAGGGCTTCCCCGGCGATGCCCGCATCTCCTCACATCCCCTTGTCCCCATGCATTCCGGAGCTTCCCCAGCTCAGCGTCACTCCTGTCACGAGCTGCTCCGCGCTCAGCACCCGGCACCCAACAGCGCATCCCCGAGGCGCAGGGTGGGCAGGGGGCTTCTCCCCACCGTGAATAAAAGATGAGCGCTGCGTCTCGCCAGCCCCTGCCACCCCCCCGCCACCCGCCGTCCCCCCACAGCGCCCAGTGCTCTGCCCTCCCCAGGGCTGCCGTTGCCATCCTGGCTGCATTCCCGGCTCCGTGCCGCGTTGGCGGGGACAGCTGGGGTGGCAGATGCCAATGGGGAGGGGGCGCACGCCGCTGAGCCCCCCGTGCCCGGCTGGCATCGACAGCTGGGGCCGCGTCCCCGACAGCCCCATAGGGATGCTCCCATAGTGCCTGTGGGGAGTAATGCCTGGGGGGGGGGTGAATGGTGGGGTGTTGTGGGGGCACTGGGGTGGCGAGGGGCTGCGCCGTGCTGT